GACGATATTCTGCCAGCTCTGCTTTCAGACCAGAGATGGTCTCCCCAAGAAACTGTTGAATTTATTTGGACAATAAGATGCTGGTCTCTATACATGGTACATGCTTGCAATGAAAGAAGCATGGCCAGATTTGAACTGTAATACTGCAATAAGGTAGAGTAATCCACCATGGGGAGGAGGGTACGGGGAGGGGTTGGGGGAACCTCAGAGCCTATGAAATGGTGTCATAAAATGAAATGTGATAAAAAAAGAAAAAAATGAGATTTCCATAAAAATTTTATTTTGCATCTTTAAATAATTCAATGCATTGGCAGTATAATTAACGCCTCTATGAGAGAAACCAACTCACCAGCTAGGCAAATATTTTTACAGAGATATCTTGTTGAGAAACAACAAAACCACTTTAAAATGTTTGTACACAGAGTTACTGTACTGCGAACAGACTACCAACAGTACACTTGGATCCCACACATTTGAATCGCACAGTCATGTGGGCAGATACAGTTTTTGACATATAAAGCACAGGAAACCAATTTTTAGCAACCAGATGACATTCAATTAATTGATGTTAGGACAGTTACCTGGATCTATACAGAACACTGGAACTTGCTGACAAAATGAGCATGCTTATTAAGGAAGTGACAGCTGGTGAATTTGCAATGAATGTGGATATTGGAAAGCTGCACCCAAGAAAAAGTGGTTCAAAAGACTAATTGGGTTGTGTGAAACCAATAGGGCACTTTCTGAATACACATCACGTTTTAAGGACCACTTGAGGTGCCACTAGTGTGGAAAAGGGTCTTTTCCTGGAAGCATGACCAGGAGGTTTCATTGTTTAGGAGCCAGGCCAGATTATGCCTGATGATTCTTTCTCTACTCATATGGAGGGCACCCGGGTCAGCCATCAGCCCCAAGTGTTTGAACAGCATCTTGGAGGAAGCTTTCTCCAAACCAGAAGACTCAACTCAGCTTAGGTTGCTACAGTTTACAGGACTCTACCCTCCCATGAATCTTGACCCACAATTTTCTCTTGGAACCTCATTGGGAGTTGGACAGGGACTTTTTTCTGAACAAAGTCAGTGGAATTTGTTCGACTGAAAATCAGATTATAATGAAAGCTTCCAAGAGAAAAAAAGTTTCCATTTCAAATTTCTGCCCTCATATAGTAATGTGGCTATGGCCTCCTGGCATTGGAAAACAATGTTTTTCAGGAATGGAAAGCGAAAATCCCATGAGTCTAGATCTCTCTCTCTTTCTCTCTCTCTCTCTCTCACACACACACACACACACACGACATGCTATGTTCTAGTTGTGGAGTTACAGCTTCCTACAGCAGTCCTGTGATGTGGTGTTGGCAAGCACCCCTCTCCGTACAACACACAAACACACAAAGCATATGAAAAATTCCCAGTTGCATCCAATAAATATTTTCCATGACACTCAAATATATAAAGTTTCTGTTTAAATTATGCATGAAAATTTCTTTTTCCAAAGATTAAAGTTACAGAATCACATCTTCATTTACAACATGTTGGCATTATCTTTCTGGGCCCTGTATACAGGCTAATTGGAATGTTAGGAAACACTTCAGATGAACACTAAAGACGTGAATGTGCCTCTTACAGACAAAGCAAACACATACACTATGGAGCAGACAGAAGAGATCTCTGGTAACTTTCAGAGATTATTTTGCAAGTTCCAGTCAATTAACTTACTAGAGAGACAGAGGTAAAGTCATTTGTTGAACTGCATTAAGTCTCAGGATATTATAAAAATGCTGTTCTATAGAAACCACATTCACCCTTCTGGCCATTTGTTACCATAGGAAGTGAAGTGACCCAATAAAGATAGAGTGTTATTCTTTAAAATGAAATTTGCCCAAATTTCATTCTTAGTCTTTAGACCGGTCTAATGTAGAATTACCAAACTTCAGAGTTCACAGCATTTTAGTGAATGAAAGAGGGAGAGAAGAAAGGCAGGCTGAAGGGTAGATAGAGACATACACACAGAGAAGCAATCAAAACAATTCTCCAAAAAATACATGCCTTCTCCAAAACAAACAAACAAATGAAAAAATACAAAAGAACAGAAAATGAAAAGAGGATAGGAAAAAAAATGAACCTAAAGACTTACGAATGTTAAAGATGTGTTGTTCACGTTTATAATGGTTACGGCAACATCTGAAGATGTTCACCTTTGCCAGACTTCCAATAAAAGTTTATCGAAAAATCAGAGTATAAACACTGTCTCAACTGCCTGTACCCATTTTATTCGTGCCAAAATTATGCAGCAAAGGCAAAAACACTGTTTCACAAAGTTATATAATTGGACAAACAGATTCAACAGACTAATATTTATACTGCCACGCAATAATGCAGTTAACAGGATTTCATCATATAGCATGCTTTTGCAGGTGGCATGTTGTAATTCAGGACACATTTACTTTTATTAATCTGTTATGTATTAAAAGCATGAATAGGTACAGTTCCAGAAATTCACATTAACTGACCTAATCATTGTTTAGAGAGAGGAAGAACACCAACATGGGAACAAACGGCAAAGTGAGAGCAACAGTGAGAGCGAGAGCACCGGGGAGCTATAGAGAAGTACAAGCAGCAGAGCCACAGGCACAGCCACCACCACAACAGAAAAGAAACTGAGCATTTCTTTGGAGGATAATATGTCGCTCATCTAACCAAGTATAAAAGGGGGGTATTAGGCATCTTCTCATACCATGAAGCATTGCTTCATTTTTGACATGTAAATTTTATTGGAGACAACACTACATCAAACCAATCTTCAGAAGCACTAGTCTCATGAACATAAAAATGAAAATAGCAATTGGTAGAAAGGAATAAATGCGAGGGATTTGCTCTAAGATGCTTCTCTTTATAAAATATTCAGAGTAGCATCCGGGAAGAAAACTCTTTGAAGTCATAATCAATCTCATTAGTATTATTTGTGGGTGAAAAGGATGATTGGTGAAGATGGTTTTGCAATAGGGATGATGTTCAACACATTTCTAGCTCTTTCTACTCACGCCTACTGCCTGGGGGCATTAAAGAGTCCCTGCCATTGTACCTACACAGCTGTTCCTAGTCTTGAGTTAGGAAAAATGTTTCAGGAATCACAGAGGACACAGAACACAAACCTTGTTATTGTATTGGCTGCAGGAAGAACTGCAAATGCAAAAGATAGAACAGCCAAAAAAAAAAAATAGCAAGAAAAGTCCTTCAGGCCTATCATACGAACATGGGCATGATTCCAAGTTCTTCAACCTTAGCAGATACAAACCTCTCATTAATTCTGGAAGATACACAGGACCAGGATAATGGGGTGCTGGAGATTTTTCTGTTCTATTCTTCAAGATGATTGACGAGCAGCTCTAACAAGCAAAAGTGCATGTGGCTGTGTGCATATGTACTTAATGAAACCTCATTCTCTTAGAAAACTAGACTGCACTCTAGGCCTTCTGGTTCGTCACCTTAGTTCTCCTGACACATTGTGAAAAAAAGAATTATCTTTGGTTTGGATAATTGTTTTTGAATATTAGTCAAGTAATTGATACAGGAAATGGTCTGATTTGAATTCAAAGCTAAGACACTAAGTAAATTGTTTTAATTAAAAACAGATATTAGGGAAAAAGCTTAGATTCCTAGTAGTAAAGTAAAACTGTCGAGTAGCAATGTGGGATGAGGATGTGGGATGTGTGTTTCCATGTTACGAGGCAACATCTCAGTAAACTGGATTCTGCTCCTAACCACAGATGCTCTGTGACTTTAGTCAAGTTGCATGTCACAGTTTGAAAACCCATGTGGGAATCTACTATTTGATAATAATAATAATAACAGTAATCTTCTCACCCTTTTTAAAACCAATCATGAGGGTTTTTGGAGTGCCTAACTCTCATTTAGTTTATCTATGAAATATAGAGCTCAGCACAATATTGTCACTGATGCATTTGCCATTTGAGTTGAAAAAGGCTTCAGTCTTTTCGGTCTTTTCAGCTTTCATGGGCTGCACATCCTAGAAGACTGATTCATATCTTAAAACAAAGTAGCAGTTTAAGTCACTGAAATGTGTGTGTATGTGTGTGGGAGGATGTATATACAGGCAGGTCCCCAGTCACAGATGTGGGAAACTGGAATCCTCCTGGCCTGGTTGCATCCAGTAGTGTGATGGAGTTGGCTCACTCAGGCTCATAGGAGCCACTTATGTTCATCTCTTCCCAACTCCGTGTGCAGTGATGTCATAGTCGGTGTCTTGAAATCTGCCATGGTGACAGTATGCATACTGAGGAAACCGGCCATTGCGAGAGATTGGTGCCTTCTTAGAGAGCCAACTGATAATTATTTTAAACAGCACACCACTGGCTGAAAGAGTAGTTCACCCTTGGGATGGGCAACATCAACTCAGCCTTTCTGAGGTTTCAGCTTTCCTATCCAGGGAGCTCTTTGTGCTCTGGTTTCACAAGCACTGTAGAGCCACAGAAGGCCAAGAACACCTGGAATGCAATTGGTGACCCATTGTCCCCATTCTGGGCTCTATGATCAGAGACCCTTTCCCTATTTTACAGCCTCACGAGTGATGCAAAAAGGGCAAACAGCTGAAATTCTCGCTGGATATGGCAGCAAGCTTCCTGGTGCAAACAGCAGAGAACAGAGAGTCCCCAGGGGAAACAAGCTAGCCACAGCTGAAAATGTCCACCGGGCATCCATCGGGAAGTCTCCCAGCTGCTCTACACAGTTGCTCACCAGCAACTGCTGCTAGGCAGGTGGGCTTGGGCTTGCCACTGCAGTGTCCTGTTGGGACTTGGCAGCAACCTTCCTTTGCTGTCCCCTTCCCTCCTTGAAGTTGGATAGAAATCAAACAGCCAACAAAATGGAGGTCACTGGCAAGAGTTTGAAATTTTGAATGATTTTTATTAAACACCATTAGTCTACACTGCACAGTTAATGAAACAGCAAAGCTCCAATCTCTTAGAATAATGATGGTTGATCATGGATCTGAAGAGCAGTTCAGAGTCCCTTAACCCAATGTCAGCACTATGAATGATTCTGTAACATCTCATGTCAGAAGCAGAAAGGGCAAGAACTGCAGTCTGGCCTCGAGGGGTTTCCCCACCCTCACTCCCACACCCACCCTCTCTCCTGCCCTCCCCACTATGCAATCTTTTTTTTTTTTCCTTTAGCACATACATTGCAGAGAAAAATGTAATGCTCTTCTTAAGAGGGCTTCTAGGTTTGTGAGGAGGAGAATGGAAAGAGAATGAATACTTTTTCTTTCACCAAAAATATCAGAGGGTAGGATAAATGTCTGAAATCAGCCTATGTGATTTGTCTCCCATCAGGGTAAATGCTGATTATCAATACACGGATGCCATTTCTGTTGTTGGAGTTTGCTAACATCAAAGAGAAAATGAATCAGAGTTTAACTGTAAGAATAAGGCTGTGCGAGCAGAAATGAGAAACAACAACAACGATAACAACGATAACAACAACGACAAAGAATTTAGTCTGCCAGTTGCACAACAGAACACTATCAACTGGCTCAGCATTTTTTCCCCGCAGAATTGAATTTGGGGGTGACGAATCAACCCATTTGTTTGATGCTGTGTAGCTGTGTCATCTTGCCACACATTTTTTCTCAATGGGGACAGCGAAGTTTCTGTAAGCAAACAATTCACTGATTTACTGAGTATTCCTACCCAGTTACCCAGTTTGGTTTTGGCTTTCATACCTGCCAGTGCCTGCAGGTGAATTTCATCATGTCTATCAAGAAGTTTATGAGGGTATTAACCTCACACTGCAGTTGATTCCACCTTTAAAATGTTTTGCAACTCAAAAGTCCAGCTTCAATGTCTGGGATGCAAAGCTGAATGCCCCAAAGCTTCAGATTAGACAGGTTCAGAAAAGACAGGGTAGAAAAATATCTTTCTGTTGCGGATCAAACACAGTGTCTTTCTTGGCTGACACATCCAAATGAATAAATACCAATCCATTCGGAAACTCAACAAAACACATTTTAGCCAATGGTATCCAATTTGGCAACTTGGTCATTGACTAAAGATCTGGATCATTTTATTTCAATATATAAGAAAAGAGCATCCCAGTCTCAAGTTTTTTCAAAGTAGCAACAGCTAATCTTCTTTTGCAATTATGTCATCCAAATATAAAACTATTAGTATTTTCCCAATGAGATAATGAAGTAATTAACAGTCTACAGGCTGGCTAACAACATGCTTACAGCTAAATTCTACCCCAAGGACCACACTAGTAAACTCTTTTCAAATTAATCCTACCTACCAAACTCAGACAGTAATATGACGAAACCACTAAGAAGTCCAAAGCTAATTAAACATACGAAGCCAAGCCAAAGTTCTAACATAAGCTTGTCAAACTCTGTGGTTGGAGCTTGAGTGACAAATGAAGGCATAGTGGTGGCCTTATTTGGATCACCCTGCAGAGCTGAGGGTGGTCCAAGTGTCTGCTCAGATGGAGCTTCTCCTTACACTGCCTGTTACTCTACTCCCATGGGATTATTTAGATGTGTCTCACCAACTCTTTGTCAATATCTAGAGGCAGACTTGCTCGCTGCCATCCAGATATCTTGTAACCATCCCACAAATGGGTATGTTGAAGAGATTCACTTGACAAAATATCTCAATCCCTTGATGCTTCAAATAGCTGCACATAAACAACACACTCCCCATCACAGTGTGATAAGGCTGTGCTTAGAAAGCAGCAACTGTCCTTAATTATGGCACCAAAAGACATTATATCTCTTAGTGATAGGAAGCTAGTGCGGCCTGCATGTTTAATTGGTTTCTGAGCTGTTTTAAAAAGTGTATCTACTAAATATTCAGGAGGTTCACCACAAGTCAATTGTCAGACTGATAACCGTGCTGCTGCTTTGGCACACATTTTACACACTGCTACCACAGGTGACAGAGAGTCTTCTTTGCCCCTTGTATGTTTGTAGATAATCTCATTTTACAATAAGCAGGTCATTGAAAGTAGAACTGTAAGGTTTTCATACCTGAAGCAATACGTTTGTGTACCTGGGGAATTGCCCCTAACATTCTAAAATCTAGTTTCTGGAGATTGAATTCCAAGAAGAACCTACTCCTAAATTCATGATGGTCTAGGATCATAGTGCACACTGTACTTAAAAATCAAGCCAGCAGGCTTCATTACATAGTAGTAGCCAGGAACACTACCTGGTAAGCCATGGAAAACAGGACTTGAGTCATTGCGAGTCATCAGGTCAATTTTTAATTTTTATATGTGATATCAATCTTGAGTGTTCAGTGTTTTTTATGTTATCATTTTCCTCATTGATGAGGGTCAGAAATATTATTACAGGTTTCATTTCTGTGTGTGCCTGCACATATATATGTGAGTGTTGTAGCTGAAGTCTTAAATGTAAAGCTCAACCACAGTGGGAGCATAAAAACTGCTGTGTCCAGCTGCTTGGATGTTCCCATCAGTCTTACTAAAAACACGGCTTTTTCGCCATTGGAGTATAACTTCCACTTTATTACACAACAAAAAGCTTTAAACTCAAAGGTCACCAGAATGGAATTTAAGTCTGGCTTTTTTTTCAACTTGAGATATACCTAACTTTAACAATGAGAGTGCGGAATGATCACCTACTGTTTCTGTCACAGACCTGCGTGGCCTTTAAAAATATACGCAAGCTTGCATCTTTGATGTGTGTATCTATTATTTATCTGGTCCTAACTTAGTGAACAAAGTTCAATTGCTCAGCAGATTAAAGGTTTCATGAAATTATATACCAGCAGGTAATTACAAGTAATTAATGAGTGAGTAGTGTATACTTCAATGGAGATTCATCTGGTGAGCTGCAACACCAAAGATATTTACATTGTGATGCGTAGGGGTAAAAAAATGAATGCAGGGCGTCACAAAGAAGAGGGGGTGTCGCCAAATTAGATGAACTCTTTCCATTCCTTAGGGATCATTCAGAGAGTCCCAACGTGATGTATTACCCAAGACCCATCTTTCTCTATAAAAAGCTAGCTACTAGAGGGTTTGCAGTTTTCTTTGGAATTTTTGTGTAAATCATTCATGTTGATACCACCTGGAATAAAATCAGTGATTGTATGTTTGTCAAAAGCTAATGTGACAAAAAAATAAAATGAGAAGAAAGAAAAATAAAAGAAAAAAAGAAAACAGACTTAAGGAAATCCTGAGGAATGGAAAATGCAGCTAATGATTGTAGAAGTCCAGATTTCAAAGCCATTAGGAAGCAAACTGTGTATTATTAATTCTAGGAAGCATAACTTGACTTTTGTTTCAAAAGATTTGAGAAAAATATATGTTAACAAACCTTCTAGCTGTGGGCCTGTCTGCCAAAAGAGGAAGAGGTGTGAATTTCTTGTCAAACATTTTTGCGAACTATCTTATCTCCTGATTCTAACAGTGGAGTGTAGCGTTTTGGATAGCAAACTTCTCTTCAAGAAGATAACTTTGTACAAAGAGAACCCAAGTGATTATTTATGCTTCATTCAGATCATGGAGTTAAAAAAATATTTATGCCAGCTGACATGTTAAAGCTGTCAAAAGGAACGCTGCCCTTTCGTTTCATCACTATTTAAAAAAAAATCGGGGTTCTGGAAAGGATGTTAACAAAAATGTCCTCTGCTCAGACATGGCATGACACTACTTTACAAGTGGCATTGCTACACTCATTTATTTTGTCAAGACTCTTGATTTTGTGGTATTGGTACATCTAACTGCTTAGTTTGACAATGAAGATTCTGATATGAAGATTTAGTCTGTGGAATCACCAGAGTTTATCAGTGGATTCTGAAATATGCTCTTTTCTGGACCTAAGCGCATAGTTTGCTGAAAATCTTTTCAGGTCCCCGTGTGTAAGCTCTCATGCATGTGTAAAACTGCTTATTTGATTTCTCAGGAATCTTTCATCAACACAAATACTTTCCATTATTTGTTTCGGGTAGTGTGGACTTACAACAATGTGGGCATTCTACAAAGTACAAAATAAATGGTGGCATATGAGAAATGCATATGAAATGCTGAAAAATGACCAATAAAACATATACTGCTCTTAAGTTGTAGTGTCCACTTACAATGATTTCAGTTTTTCACAGATATCCAAAGAAGCATAAGAACAAAGAGAATCAAAGATAACTTTCCCAAATGAGTGGACTTCCACCAGTGACCATCAGTGTGCTGGCAGAGGTAGAGTAATGGGTGGTGATGTCAGAGATGGGAGGGCATCAACTACAACAAATGGGCATCGATGCGCAGCCAACATAGTCCTTGGCGAACGTAGCGGACAAGATTGGTCATGCTGCTGTGCTGGGTCAGAGGCCCCATCAACGTGTCCAGGTCACCAAAGAATTCTGGAAATCAGAGCAGTTCTTGGTCAGGACGTTAGATGATATCATGGGAAACATGCACCAGATTGAAAAATGGCCTTCACATACACAGCGATTATTCATTTGTCCATTCACTCATTCAGACATTCAATAATGCTTGACAAAGTTCCCACTAGGGGATCAGAGTGTCATAAAGTACAGCTATTTTAATCTTTAATGAACTCCAAAATCTCTGTAGTACAAATAATTCTTGTGTTATTGTGATCAATAAAATAATAAAAATTAATTTATATCTGTATCTTAGTTCGTAGCAAGCTTTTAAAAACCAGTACATATTTCTCAGACAAGACTTTAAAAGTAATTACAACTCCATGAAAATTTGCTGTACATACACACACACACCAATATATTTCAAAAAGTGCAGTTGGGCCTGGTGGGTTCCTCTCTAGGCATCAACTTCATTTGATTTCTGCTGATAAAGGGATGAATTATTTTTCACATATAAAATATTTTCATATGTAATACAATATGAAGGAAAATATTAAAGAAGAAAGTGAGTGTGCAATGAATTGTCCACTCTGAAAACCTTTCTATGGTATTCTTAGCTAGACACTCAGGTCATTATTATAATAACTACTTCAAGTGAGCAGTGCAAACAGCTTGGCTGGTGGGCAACAGGAATTCTAAAGGGCAGAGGACAACATAAGTTCTATTGATTCATTTCAGCACCGAGACCACCTTCAATAAGTCAGCTGCTGCTCCACGGGTGTGCCGCTCAGGAAGGAGTGAAGGGTTTCTATTAGGACAGCCGACCTTACAGAGGTCTGCATTGCATCATTGACTGGGAAGAGGTGTGCATGGCTGTCTTCATAGGGATGCAGAATTCCAATCAAATGGAAGATCCTCATTTCCTCTATTTCCATACAGACAAGCCAGATGTGAGAAGAATCCCCAAATCCAAGTGAACAAAAAATGACAAGTATGTGAGACTCAAGCTCTGAGCAGAGGATTCAAAACTAGCTCTTCTCCGCAGTGCACAGACGGGCCCAACTGGCAGCATTAGCAGGGCACGTTTTCTCTCTGCTGGTAGGGAGACAGAGCTGTGCTGACTCAATATTAGGCAGAGGATTTGGCAACTGTTTGACAAACTGAGCTAATGACAATATTAGCATCATTTCACTCGAACAGCACACTCACCATGTTGCCCCTGGAAATTTCTGCAGTCAATTTAAAGGAGTTACTCTAAAAGATTTGAAAGTGAATGTATTTCTAGAGGAAATCCATAAATATTGAACAGTCCTTCAGATACCAAAACAAAATAAGATAGAAAGGGTGGAGGCAGGCAAGCTAGGCAATTTTAAGATATGTCTTTGCTTGCATTTCTAAACCCTTTGGATCAGTCTGGTTTTCTGAGCCAGTCAACTCTTTATTTCCAGAAACCTTGAACAGTAGAGAAGCTATGAATAGCCCTTTGCTCAGATAACTGAGCTTAGGATCTCACTGAAGGTGTTTGAGGGTCAATCATTAATTTTACTTTTTATATGGACAGTACAGCCTACTATATGGAAGCAGTTCACAGATTTAGGTAACTTGCTGATGTTGCTCATTTACTTCATGAAGTAGGCAGGAATTAAGCTTCAATTAGCAAGCTGAACAAATTGTATCATTCCTACTCCAGTGCTCCAGTGGGGTTTTTCCCCAAAATGCTCAGCAATATGATAGCAATGATTAGCAAGAGGAAGCTGTGCAGATTGTGCCTCTTTCCATGATTAGACATTAGATAGAACCACTCCAGAGATGACAATGGCAGTTTTTAAGAGAATATAAGCAGACTGAAACTATGGTAAATAATGCTGATGCCCCCCAAATGGCAGAAATCTCCAGAATCTGGTAGATACTTCTTCGCAGTCTGGTTTTGAAAGGCCCATATTTGCCACAACCATGACTGCAGTGGGGTAACCTGTGACTACTGGGCCTGATTCAGTCAAGTCAAGTGAATGGCCAGAGGAAAAACATGCTTCATTTTTACCTCCCATTTTCATTAGGATAGTGACACTAGGTTTGCTCCTAAATGACAGGGTCACAGATGGCAGAGTGAGCCATCAAAGATGGCTGACTCCTTCTCTGGTTAAGCAGAGTTCTCTTTGCATTTGTTTTATAGCAAACCTCATCATGAACAGGAAGGGTTCTGCTTCTTCATCCCAGCTGTTAGTGTGTGAAAAATATCAGCTCAGGTTTGGCCTTTGTTTCCAAATGCAAGCCACAGGATCATGTACTCAACAGGAGCTAGTAACTGTGATGAAGGTAGCAAGCAGCTTTTGCTTCAGCCAGCAGGATGTTATTTGATTTGCAAATCATTCTTATTGCCTTTGTATTTGTTTTCCTGTATTGATCCTTGTTACTGAGTAAAAATCCGAAATGCTTATTTGCCAACACCGCAGTTCAGACTATTTTAAAAGAGAACAAAATCCCAGGCCTTTTCATTCTCTTAGAAAAATGGGTCACTGTGTCAGTTATGGGCAAACTCCCCTTCCCTCATCCGAGGCCTGGAAACCAAAAGGCAGGAACATGTAAAGCCACCAAACTCAAGTCCTTCCAAGCACAACTGGTTCCATCAGTCTGCATGAGAAATGGGTGTAGCAGATGGGCATACCTTTGTTCTCTCTTGTCAGTTTGTCAGCCATGTCCCAGTGTTCGTAGCCCCGTAAAACATTGCTAGTGATGTTGACGTGGCTGGCAGCCATGTGGTGAATGCGTTGGGGGATGGTGACAGGGCCGTTGTTACAGCTCCCCATGGTGTTGATGGGAGAGACATTGTTGAGAGACACTGGGGAAGGAGTGTTCCTGAGGAATGGAAAGACAAGCCTTGTTAGGCTAATGGAAAGGATGATGGGCAGGTTCTGGCTGAGCCTGATCACGCTGGAGTCTCCTCAGAGTGCCATTTGCCAGAGTGAAAGTTAGCATGTTGTACACAGATGAAACCTTCAGTGCAGCATAGCTTAGACAACATCCCACAGCTGTTTGAGCACAATACACAGTGTCTTCTAAAAGTTTTTGGAGATGTATTTTACAGAAAACAAACAAAAAACCTGTACATGCACTTCAATTTTTATATCAAAATAAACTTATCATTTGATTCCATTTCTGGGATTTTTGGGGGTACTCTGACAGCTTTGACTGGAGGTTCTGGTGCCAGTAGAGAGAGCATATTACATTCAAACAGGGCTACAGGGCCAGGCTGTAGATGAAGCCCCTTCTTTTCTGGCAGGAGCCACCCACGTCCTCACCACCTTTAATAACCACTGAGGCCTCTGTGCACACTGCTACTTTTGTTTGAAAATACCAGTGAGAGTCAGGTGAAGTTTTCTCTGCCATGATTCAACCCACAGATGTACATCTTACTTTGAATACATATGACGAGTATTGCCATGCTTCTGAGGAAGAAACAACTCAGAGAGCTATGATGATTTCTCTACCTGCTGCCAGAACAGCTACTGACAGTTAGAAAACACTTGATGTATAATACTGGTCTATCATCAAAGTGTTTTGTGGAAACCACAATGACAGTTTGTTCCAAATACAGTTACCACAATAAACCAAGCACAATTCATAAAAGACTCCCAGGGAGCAATATTAGGGAAGCCGGAGAAGTAGAATTGCGCATATCTCCTTAGGATTCTTTGAAGTGTGCTACACAGAAGGGCGGTTAATTGCTGACTTCTCACCTGCATGCTGTTTGTAGAGGAACTTTCAGTTTCTGCACTGGGCTATCCCAATGTTTGGACACAGATTTTAACTGCATTATTCAACAAGAAATCACCTGCTGGCTGCATGCAGTGTGGGATAATTTTTCCTTCATGGTTCAGGCCTGTTGCATGCTTACCAGGAAGAGTTATGTAAAGATGGGCAGCTTCCTGTATAATATCTCTGTGTCGTTTAGGCTCCCTTTGCCCATATTTTGAGCAAATGCTGAAGCAAGTGTATTATTTTATCAGAACAAAGCATTTTGAGGTAGTATAAGAAATGTGAAGATGATGTGCTTGAATTTTCATGAGTCTGTAATGCTGAATGATCTCATCTCCCCTGATTCCCCTGAAAACTACACAGTATATCAGCAAAGAAACCCTGTCTCATTTCCCACCTTCATCACCTTCAACCCCTTATTAGCTGGCGTTGTTGGCAAATCTAGACTTTTGAGATGGCTGTACTGTTCTTTAGTGTCAACACTTGTTCACAGAACAGATGTGCTGACCAGCTGGAACACACACACACATGATTTGGAGCATGCAAATATAAGGCTCCAAAATGCTGAAGTGATGGTGACTAGATCTGGAAGCAGTGCTCTTGTTATCATACATGCAATACCTACAGCAATAAGAAATACATGCAGCACTTCCACAAAGTAAGCATATCTGGATCCTTGCACTTAGCCTGTAGTTGTCTGGTATAACAGAATGTAATGAATTTCTTGCAATATTGAAAATATGTATTTTAAAGTTTTATTTATTGAATCAAGATGGCTGAATAGGGTAAGGAGAAGTTTACACAGTCAGAGAATCATTAGCCAGGGTGAAGCAAAGAGGGCACATTCCAGGAAACAGGAGTTGACAGTCCAATGGCAAAGGGGCAGCTGGAGACTGACAGACACAGGAAAGCAAAGGAGACAACGGTGTGGTGTAGCAGTGGCCAGACACCTCGGTGTCAGTCAGTGAGCAACTATCTGAGCTCCGCCTGCAACCAGAGCTCCACCAGCAGCCAGGTGAGGAGAGTGCACCAGGAGCTCAGCAGATATTTGCACGTGCTGCTGATTGGTTTGATTCAACCATGAGCCAAGGGAGAGCAGCAAATCCCAAAATGGTGGTGCAGGAACAGGGTGAATCTCAAGCCCTATCTCCCACTAGAGCAGCAATCAGGCACCAGACTAGACAGCCAGCAGATCCAGAACTCCACCAGTGGCACATCAGGTGTCGTTTTGTACAGTGTGGGAAATGCTGTGAGACTGGAGAGACAAGAGTGAGCTGCCTGTGAATTCACTTCTCTCTAAGTGCATTGCACTGGTCCCACAGGGAAAATAATACCTTCAGCATCAGACAGGTCAAAATAGGATTACAGGGCCCTCAGACCTAACGGGCAGCAGGTTTTGGCAAGATGAGCACCATAAACAACCTAATTTTTTAGGACACCTGGTGTCTCCTTCATCGTGGGATCTACTCGAACCTGAAGTGGAAGAAAGGTTGTATAGACAACAATGTAGTCTCAGCACGGTATCACAGGAAGTAGAGTGGTTAGCCAGGAGCATGGGCTATGGAAACTGTGGTGGAAGCCTAATACAAGAGTCTAGACCTGAAACTCACTGGATGGAGTGGTACAAGTGACTGCAAACAAAGAACCAGGTACCAAATGCAATAAGAAAGATCAAACTGTAGACCTGTGGGTGACACAGCTTAGAAACCTGCTCCAAGGAGAAGAATCTGATAACCAGAGGTACAATGATCAAGAGCAAAGTAAGAGACAGAGGCACAATGAATGTTACTGAAGACTCCCCTGTAAAGGAGAAAAAAGCCTTTGGAACCTCAGACTTAACTGAGGAAGACATCAAGAAAATGGGAGATACAGAATTCAAAATACTTGTTGTAAAACTTATCAACAATGAGAAGCACGTAACAAAGGAGTTCAAGGAATTTAAGGAACATGTCACACAGCAAACAGCAACACTGAAACAAATTAGGCAGAATTATTAGAAATGAAGCAAAAATGGAGCAGATTAAAAATCCAGCGGAAAGTATCTATACTAGCATGAAGGAGGCAGAAGAAAGAATCTCAGAATTAGAAGATATTTCTTGCTACAATGAGAAAAAAATTAAAAAGTTGGAATAGGAACTGAGTCAAACTAAGATAAGTATTCAATAATTAAGGGACACTATTAAAAGGCCAAATAAAAGAGTTATGGGAGTTTTGGAAGACACAGAAAGAGAAGCTGGGTTTAAAAATTATTTAAAGTTTAAAATTATTAAAATTATTTAAAAATTATTATTTTAGTGAAACAATAAAGGAAAATTTCCCTAAACTGAAGAAAGAATGGGGAAACTAAATCCAGGAGGGGCACAGAACTCCCAACAGGCTTGACCAAAAGCAGTCTTCATCACAACCCATGATAATCAAGCTCTCTTCACTCAAACATAAGGCAAAGATGCTTAAATGTGCATGTGAAAAAAAAAACATCAATTGACATATGGAGACACCCCAATCAGACTCACAAGAGATCTCTCACAGGAAACTCTACAGGTAAAAAGAGAATGGAGTGACATATTCCAGATTCTCAAAGAAAAAATTGTCGGCCCAGGATAACATATCCAGCAAAGCTTTCCTTTGTCTTTGAAAATGAAATAAAATTCTTCCACAGTGAAGAAAAGCTCAAATAATTTGCCTCTTGCAGACCTGCTCTACAAATGATATCTAAAAATGTCCCCTGACAGAGAAGAGGATTAGCACCCGCCTAAACCAAAGGCAAAAGGAAGAAAAAATAAATTAATAACACCATGAAGTTAAGTAACATGCTACTGAATGACTAATGAGTCTCTGAAGAAATGAAAAAGAAAAATCAAGAACCCTTTTGAAGAATATGATGCTACTGTGTGATCTATGAGTGACTGAATAACCAGATGAAACTCTCTTTAGATCAAACTAACAAAAAACAAAAACATTAAAATTTGTGATATAGTTTCTGCTGATCTTTGTTGAAGTGTCTCCTCCAGTCAATAAACAGATGAGTTTTGTTTTTTAATCCAGTCTACTAATCTATGATGTTTGATTGAGCTTAAGCCATTTACATTCAGGGTTTACTTGTATGGGTGGTACTTTGGTCCTAGCATTTTAGGAATGGGTTGTTCATTGTTGTCATTTTACTGGGATGTTCTTCACATTTGCCTTTGGTTTTGGTTTCCTGTGAGAAGTCTCCTGTGAGTTTAATTGGCATTCCTTTATATGTCAATTGATTTTTTCATGTGCACATTTAAGGATCTTTTTCCTTATATTTGATTGAAGAGAGCTTGATAATCATGTGTCTTGGTGAAGATTGCTTTTGATCAAGCCTGTTGGGAGTTCTGTGACCCTCCTGGATGTTTTTTTTCTCTTTCTGCACCTTCTGGGGGTCCCATAACTCTTATAATAGGCCTCTTAATGGTGTCTTTCAGTTCCTGAATACATTTTTTAGTTGATCAAGCTCTTCTTCCAGCTTTTTGTTTGCTTCCCCCTGATGACAGGCAATATCTTCCAATTCTGAGATTCTTTCTTTTGCTTGTTTCATTCTATTTTGGAAACTCTGTACTGTACTTTTAATTTGCTCCACTGTGTTTTTCATTTCTAATATATCAGCCTTGATTTGCTTTATTGCTGCTATTTCTTGCATAACATACTCCTTAAATTCTTTGAACTCTTTTTTGTGCTTCTCATTGTGCATCAGATGCTTGTAATAAGTTTTCTGAATTGTGTGTCTCATTTTCTCGATGTCTTTCTCAGTTAATTCTGAGGTGGGTATAGGATTTTGCTTCTTTGCAGGTGAGTCTTCAGTAATATTCATTTTGCCTTTATGTCTTCTTTTGCTGTTGGTCATTGCACTTCTAGTAAGCAGATTCTTCTACTTGGAGTGGATTCTAAGCTGTGTCACCCACAGTTCTACAGTTTGATTTTACTTATTGCACTTGGTACACAGCTCTTTGTAGCCGATTGTGTCACTCCCTCCAGCAAGTTTCAGGTCTGGGTTCTTATGTTAGATTTCCACCATGGTATCCATATCCCTAGCTCCTGGCTCACCACTCTCCACCTCCTGTGAGACCATGCTGAGG